GAATATACCCAAAAGGCCAATACACATATGAAAAATGTGTTCAATAGCATTAGTGGCAAGAAAACACAAATGAAAACCAGCAGAATACAGATATCTCCAAAAAAGATACAGCCGGGTTCGGTGGCTCAGCCTGTAATCCCGTGCTTTGGGAGGCTCGGGTGACTGGATTGCCTGAGACTCGCCTGGGCAACTTGGTGAGATCTTGTCTCTACAATAAATCAAAAATTAGCTGGGCGTCTGTAGTTCCAGCTACTTGGAAGACTGAAGCAGAAGGATTGCCGGAGCCCAGCAGGTTGAGGCTGTGGTAGCCAGAAGTGGCCACTGCACTCCAGTCTGGGCGACAGAGTGAGACTCCAACTAAAAAAAAAAAAAAAAGACATACAAACGGCCAACAAGTGTATGAGAAGATGCTAAACATCACTATCCATCAGAGAAATGCACATGAAAACCACAATGAGATGTCACCTCACACCCCTTAGGATACCAAGCAAAAAAAACATAAACAAGTCTTGGCAAAGATGTAGAGAAACTGGAACCCTTGGGCACCGTTGATAAGACTGTAAAACAATGCAGCTGCTGTGGAAAACAGTATAATGGTTTTTCAAAAACTAGAACTGCCATGCCATCCAACAATTCCACTCCTGGGCATATATTGAAAGCAGTTCTTGAAAAGATATCTGCACAACCATGTTTTTACACCTGCACTACTTACAGTAGCCAAGAAGAGGAAGCAACATAAATGTCCATGGATGGATGATCAGATAAACGAAATGTGGCATGCCCATATGATGGAATATTATTCCTTAAGAAGGAGAAATAGCCTGTCACAATAAAAGATCTTTAAAACCACTGTGAGACCGGGCTTGGCAGCTCAGCCTGTCATCCCAGCACTTTGGGAGGCCGAGGCGAGTGGGTTGACTAAGCCCGCGGGTTTGAGACCCACCCGGGGAACCTGGCAAGATCTCGTCTCTACAATAAATCAAAAATTAGCCGGGCGTGATAGCAGGGCGTGGTAGCACATGCCCGTAGTTCTGGCTACTTGGAAGGCTGAGGCGGCGGGATCGCCAGAGCCCAGCAGGTCGAGGCTGCGGTGGCTGGGAGCGTGCCACTGCACTCCAGTCTGGGTGACAGAGTGAGACTACAACTTAAAGAAAAGAAAAAGAAAAAAAAAACCACAGTGATATTCTTTTACGTACCCACTTTTTTTTAACTGCTAACACCAAAGTCAAGTTGGCAAGAACATGTAGCTAGTACAATTCTCATTCACTGTTGTAAACTGGTACAATCACATTGGAATTCATTTGGCAGTATTTACTAAAGCTGAACTTACCCTATTATCTGGCAATTCTGCCCTCAGGTATATATCTAAAGCAGGTTTGTCCAACCCGCAGGTCACCTGTGGCCCAGGACAGTTAGCAATGCGGCCCCACAAAATCTTTTAACATCATATTAAAACAAGCATTTCTGAAAAGCACCTTGAGAAGTCTTATTAAGTTTATACACTAACTATATTATATAATTTATGAATGGCCCAAGACGAATCCTCTTTATGTGAAGACTAAATCTGGACACCCCCGATCTAAAGGAAACATGTATATATGTGTTCCGGAAAGTTGTATTCAAGAATGTTTATAAACACATTATTCATAATAGCCATAAGCCATGGGAAGTCTACTTAAAAAACCAGGACAGGCTGGCACAGTGGCTCACACCTATAATCCCAGCACTTTGGGAGGCCGAGGTAAGAGGATTGCCTGAGCCCATGGGTTCGAGACCAGCCTGGGCAACTTGGTGAGACCCCATCTATACAATATATTACAAAATTAGCCGGGCGTGGTGGCACATGCCTGTAGTTCCAGCTACTTGGAAGGCTGAGGCAGAAGGATCGTCTGAGCCCAGCAGGTCAAGGCCACAGTGGCCATGAACGTGCCGCTGTACTTCAGCCTAGGTGATTGAGTGAGGGTCCAATAAAAAAAAAAAAAAAAGGACAGCAATACCTGCCTTGGGATGCAGCCAGTGCAGCCAGGATTAAGTGAGACTGAGCAAATGGAAAGCACACATACTATGACTTACTAGGACTTAGCAGCTCAAGGTTACGGCCAGCCCAATGACTGTTGCTCAATACGTATCACTCACAGAGAAGAAAAAGGCACAGGAAGAACCCAGAGTGCTATGGTCTGGATGTTTGTGTTCCCCTAAAATACATGTGCTGAAAACCAACCCCTGAGGTGATGGTACTAAGAGATGAAGCCTGTGAGCAGAGCCCTTGGGATTAGTACCCTTATAAAAGAGGCCTGAGGTCGGGCGTGGTGGCTCATGCCTGTAATCCCAGCACTTTGAGAGGCCGAGGTGGGAGGATTGCTTGAGCCCGAGTTCAAGACCAGCCTGGGAAACACAGCGAGACCTCGTCTCTACAAAAATTCAAAACATCAGATGGGCATGGTGGTGCATGCCTGTAGTTCCAGCTCTCTGAAAGGCTGAGAAGGAAGGATTGGCTGAGCCCAGGGGGTCGAGGCTTAAGGGAGCCATGATCCTGCCAGCCTAAGCAACAGAGTGAGACCCCGACTCTAAATGACTACCTGTCGCTCCCAACAGAATGCCCTTTGGGGCAGAGCCTTTGTTCACTGCACCTACTGCTAGAGTACTAGCCCATAGAATAGGTCCTGACACATCTCAGAGACTTAACAAGTAATTGTTGAATGAATGAATGAATGAAATTAAACAAAAAGGAAGCATCAGAAAACCATATTCTCTTTTCTATCTCTAGAAGTGGTGGGTAAGGAGGAGATACCCGGAGCTTCTGCAGCCATATAGAGACCACGAGGAAATAAAACAGAAGAGGAAAAGCCAACATGCAAGGGATGGCCAGGTGGACAAATGACCAGACCTGGTTTCCAAGTATCACCATTCCCCTGGAGGGTCAGATGACTAGCGTCAGTAATGCCAACACTTAAGTATCTCCTCCTGTGAGACGACATAAATGGCTGCTGAGGACAGAAAGGCGTCTCTCCTAAACTCTAGAGGCATCTACTACAAGAAATGTGCAGCATGGCGCTATCTGAAAGGAGTACATCTGAAAAATAAAGCTGTGACGAGGAAGTGAGAAAGACCACAGAGCTCTGAACTCCTGGCTGCAGCTGTGCTTGAAACCTCTGTCCTTCCCCTTCCCAGTTATGGTAATTCAATAAACTCCTCCCTCCTTTTAAAATTTGAGCTACCTGGCACCTGTACCACACCTGTAATCCCAGCACCTTGGGACGCAGCGGCAAGAGGACTGCCTGAGTCCAGGGGTTCAAGACCAGCCTGGGCAACTTGGTGGTCTCTACAATAAATAAAAAACTTAGCCGGGTGCGGTGGCACATGCCTGTAGTTCCAGCTACTTGGAAGGCTCAGACGCCTGAGTCCAGAAGTTCAAGGTCACAGTGAGCTATGCTCGTGCCACTCCAGCCTTGGTGACCGAGCAAGACCCTGTCCCAAAAGAAGAATTGATTCCTCACATGGGAGACCCTGAAAAACAGTGGCAGTCACGATGGCTCTCAAATGCGGCCGTTTCTCATTCTGACCCACCATAGAAAGCCGACGTTACTTCAGTAAAACAAATCCTGACAACCAACGTTTCTTGGACATGGGGGCATAAAGGAGTGCTACTTAGCCAATGGGATTAAAAAATAATGGAAGGTGATGCCAACAGGCACACAAAGGTGCTTCTCACAGGCTGCTTCCCAAGACAGGCAAGCATCAAGGGATTCTGCTGGGAACTAGTCTGGCAGCGTGGAAAGAGAACAGGATTTTGAACCAAACCAACCTGACTTCAGATCCTGAGTCTGATACCTTTGGGCTATGTGACCTTAGGAGAACCATTCAATCTTTTTTTTTTTTGAGTTGGAGCCTCACTCCGTCACCCAGACTGGAGTGCAGTGGCTGGTCCCAGCCACCGCAGCCTCGACCTGCTGGGCTCTGGCGATCCTTCCGCCTCAGCCTTCCAAGTAGCTGGAACTACAGGTGTGTGCTACTATGCCCGGCTCATTTTTTGATTTATTGGAGAGATGAGGTCTCACCAAGTTGCCCAGGCAGGTCTTGAACCTGTGGGCTCAGTCAATCCACTCACCTCGGCCTCCCAAGGCTGAGCCACTGAGCCCAGCTCATTCAGTCTTTTAAAGACTCAATTTCAGGCCAGCAGCGGTGGCTCACACCTGTAATCCCAGCACTTTGGGAGGCTGAGGTGGGACAATCACTTGAGCCTGGAAGTCTGAGATGCCTGGGCAACACAGCGAGACCTCATCTCTAAAAAATAAAAAATTAAGATCCAAAAAGTTTCTATTTCCTCATTGGTAAATGAATGAGTGAATGATAAAAAGCAGCGCCCCCAAAATCCTGACCCAAACAGCTTTACAGGCTCACTCAGGCTCTGGATAAAGCACCCCTGGAGATGGGGCAGGCAGCCCTCGTCCGCATCCTTAGGGTAGAGAAGCCAGCCCGGGTCAGCTGGGCCCTGCAACAGCCTCGGTCCTGCCCTAGTCTTCTGCCCAAGACCACCGCTAGGCCACTCTGCTCTGGGTCATCAGAGAAGGCAGCTCCTCCCTGGGCTGGAGAAAGAGGTACCTGGAGATTAAGGGGTCACTTCAATTCCCATAGAGAAGCCTCTTCCCACTCCCACCACAGAGTCCTGTTCACGCGGTCCCCAGCAGAAACCCCTCCCAGGTTCCTGGTACGCTGTGAGCCCACCTGTCCTAGGTGTGAGGAAAACAATCTGAACAAACCATTATTTCATGTCCTTTGTCGTTTTGAAGGTATCATTTTTGTCTGTTTGTTTTTCGGCGTACTCTTCCTCACAGGCGCTTTGCCTGTGACTGGTTTCCCTGGCAACAAAGGAAGAGGAGGCACAACCAGAAAGAAGGTACACATTGTTTGTTTTCTCTTCCTGTCCTGAGGGGGGCCGAGGACTGTGGTTAGGTACAGTCACGACTCCCCCATTCTGTAAATTACTCACAACAGAGGCATCCAGTTTCAACCAATTCTATTTAGTAGGAGAGGGAGTGAACCACGGAGACAGGCAAGAGACAGGCACAAAACCAAGGTTGGCATCTTCCTGGCAAATGGTCCATCCACATTTCTCCTGCAGCCCCGGGAGGGCCCAGGCTGGCAGTGGCCGCTGGGTGCTCTGGCCACAGAGTGACAACCAGCTCACCTGTGCTGGTCGCTTGGCTCCTGGGTCTGAGAGGGTGGGGCGTCTTCTGCCACTGAGGCTCTGCCGTCAAGCACCTGCCAGACCCTCTGCATCCCTGGGAAGGGGCGGCGAGGGCCAGTCAGCCCCGACAGTGGGTGGGTGGAGTGGACAGGCTGAGGCTGTGTGGGTCAGACGAAGGGGCCATGGGAGGCAGGCGGGAGGGCAGGTGCTCACCCAGGCGGAGCCGGTGGGCCTTGTCCGAGAAGACCAGGCAGAACCAGCCGGGCTCTTTACACCCAAAGGCCTTGCCAGAGGACAGCAGCACCTTGTGGTCCAAGAAGCGGTGCCACAGAAACATTTCCCCCTCAAAGGTGTCCTCGGGCAGGTACTGGGGGGGGGACAGAAGGGGCTCAGGGGACAGGTGAGACCCCCTCGCCTGCTGGAGACAGGCCTGACACTTCCTCCTGGTCCGCAGCTCCCCTGCGTTACCTTTCTCAAGTCAACCCAGGTGAAGAAGCTGGCCCCTCGACTCAGGAAGGGGATCCCCAGGACCTTGAGATCTTCCAAGACATAGGCGTGAGCCGGGCGTGGTTTTCTGGCGGGTACACCTCGTTGATCCAGTCTGCGTGGGTGAAAGAGAGGCCAAGAGATGAATCTCCCATCACCCCTCTACTCTGTCCCATGAGCCTCGATGCTGACAAAACTGGCCACATGTTGCCAGGACTGTGTGAGCCCCTCCTCTGTTGGCTGATGGGCAAAGGGAGGGGGCTGAGAGGGGAGGCCAGGAGGGGATGGGATTTTAGAGGTCGCCATGAGGCACCTTGAATCCAGATATTCAGCTTTGACAGCGCCGGATCCCACACCCCATTCAGGAGTCCAGAGCACAAGCTCCCCAGGACACAGGACCGAACCCAGCTCATCCACTTCTCAAGTCACGCTTTAGAGCCACACAGACCAGGGTTCAGACCCCGGCGTGGCCACGGACAGGGATGGGGCCTTGGGCAACTTCACCTCTCTGATCCTCATTTTGTTACTGACTTTTTTCTGTTGTTTCTGTACAGTTCCATGCATTTCAACACATGGGTGGGTTTGTGTGACCACCACCACGGTCAGAATTCCGAATAGTTCCATCACCCCAAAGAACACCCTCGTGTGTTTATAATCCCATCAGCTTCTTCTCCATCACTAGTTTTGCTTTTTCCAGAATCACAGAAGTGGAATGCATGCATGTAATCTTTTGAGACGGGTTTCTCTCACTCAGCAGAACGCCTCTGAGAGTAATCCGTGTGACCATGAATTTTATTGCATGGTAATATTCCATCATGTGACGTGCCACGGTCTATGTACCACTCGTGTGGAAGGACATCTAAGCTATTCCCAGTTATGGGTGGTTATGGATGAAAGAGGATATAAGCATCCATGCAGAGGCTTTTGTGTGACCCCCAGGGTCAACATCTAGGAGTGGGATTGTGGGCCATTTGGTACGTGTGTGTTTAACTTTATAAGAAAATGCCGGGTTGTTTTCAAAGTGGCTGAACCACTTACTCTTGTACCAGCCATGTATGAGAGTTCCATCTGTTCTTCGTCTTTATCAACACTTGATGTTGTCAGTATTTCAAAAAATTGCAGGCCCCGGGCCAGGTGCGGTGGCCATGCCTGTAATCCCAGCACTTTGGGAGGTGGAGATGAGAGGACTGCCCAAGCATAGGGATTCGAGACCAGCCTGGGCAACTTGACAAGACCTCATCTCCTCAATAAATTTTTAAAAAATTAGACAGGCATGGTGGCACACACCCATAGTTCCAGCTACTTAAAAGGCTGAGGAAGAAGGATCACCTGAGCCCAGCAGGTCAAGGCTGCTGTAGCCATGAGCATGCCACCGCATTCCAGCCTAGGCAACAGAGTGAGACTCCAACTCAAAAAAAAAAAAAAATTATAGGTCAGGCGCAGTGGCTCCCACTTGTAATCCCAGCACTTTGGGAGGCCGAGGTGAGAGGATTACCTGAGCCCAGGGGTTCAAGACCAGCCTGGGAAACCTGGTGAGACCTCGTCTCTACAATAAATCAAAAAATTAGCTGGGTGTGATGGTATGCACCTGTGGTTCCAGCTACCTGGAAGGCCAAGGTGGAAGGATTGCCTGAGCCCAGCAGGTTGACAGAGGGAGACTCCAACTCAAAAAAAAAAAAAAATTATAAGCCAGGTGTGGTGGCTCACGCTTGCAATCCCAGCACTTATTTATCTTCCCGGTCTTTATCTCCCTCAACTGCATAATAATAGGGAAAATATGGGAATTCTTGTTTCCTAGGATCCTGGAAAGGGACAAATTGGGTGACCCAGCAAGAGCAGTTGCAGGCTCAACAAATGGCGGCCATGACAGGTCACCTTTGTGATCTAAACCCACTATGTAAACCTGGAAACAGAATGATTCGCAGAGAGAAATACTTCCGTTAAAACAGTGTTTTCTTAGTAGCTCTGCTCTCCTTTTAAAGCATTCCCCGCTAATACTAGCAAGTTCACATCAACCCAAGTCCCTGTTACACACCAGGTTACTTTTCTAATTGAATTACAACCCATACCAACCTCACAGGACAGATACCACCATGATCCCTGTTTTATAGATGAGCAAACTGAGACTCAGAGAGGTGGAGTCATGAGCCACACATCCAGGAAGTGACTGAGTACAGTACCGAGCCGGTCTAGGCCCAGGGCTGGCGATCTCAAACACCACCCTCAACTCTTCTCACTGGAAGAAGTATCTTTGGCCAGTCCCAGACTGACTCCTGCCTCCCCCGCCCCCACCATGTTCAGGTCACCAGGCCCAGGCAGTCACCACGGTCCTGGAGCAGCTGTGCCATCTGGTACTGGAGCAAGCCACTGAGGCCATGATAGCGGCAGAGGGAAGCCATGGCAGTGGCCACGTCCTGATTTTCTGTGTACAGCGTGCCAAAGCAGAGCCTAGACATCCCAAAGTCCTGAGGGAAGAAGAACCCTAGGTGGAGGCCAGCCCCACAGAGGAGGCCGGTTCCACCCACCTCTCTGCCAGCCCACCTCCCTGACACCCCCGAGGCCAGCCAGGAGCTCACCTTGCTGGCTGCCCACATCACGTGGGTCCTCTGGGGGTCAGGCAGCCTGCAGAGAACACAGCATGCAAACAGAGGCAACACAGGGCCGTGGGAGCCCAAACATGTTTGGGTGAACAAACGAGGGGGTGGGGGGGAATCTGGCTCTACATCTGGGGCATGCCCTGGCTTCATCTCTCAGCCACTGATTCCTATGACAGCCCACGGGCAGAATCTAGTCGGTTGCCTGTTTTTGTAAATGAAGTTTTACTGGCACACAGCCACACTCATTCACTTACACAGCTCCATGGCAGATGAGCAAGAGGCCAAATGGCCCGTAAAGCCTCAAATATTTACCACCTGGCCTCTGCGGGCAAGTTTGCCAAATCTTGACCTAGAGCCTAGCTCAAGTGTCACTTCCTCAAAGAGACCCTCCCTAACCACTGCCCCTTCCTCCACCGACACCCAGCCAATCAGGGACCTAAGGAGATTCTCCCAAAGTTCCCAGACGGCTGTCTGAGCATTTATCAAGGCCATCATCGGAGGACAAGCTGTGGGTTTGGCTGCTAAAATTATTTTTCTGGCTAGAAATCAAAGTCTCATACAGGAAGGGCCTATGTCTTGCTTGCTTGCTTGCTCACTGTTGCACCCCCAGTGCCCGGCACAGTGCCTGGTACAGAATACCTGCCCTACACACGTTATTTCATGACTAACCGAGAATCATGGACAGTTGCTTTTTCTCTGTGCCTCACTCCTTTAATCCAGAAGGCACATGCGAGTAACACTCGATGCTCTATCCACTCCACAGAGCCTCGTGAGAACTAGAAGACAGAACTAACCGAGAGGCTTAGCAGGGCTAACAGTTCCCAACATCCAGCAGAAGCTGTTTGAGTCCTTGAAGGTCAGATCTGCAGGCTTTCAGATAATCCAGTCCAAATGTTTCCAAAGGCGTTTTGGCTACAAATTCCTTGCTTACGTTAAATCTAACTAAAAGGCCCAATATTTATTTTTATTTATTTATTTTTTTTGAGAAATCAGGATTTATTGAGAGGACAGAAAAGCTCCCACAGTGGGAGGGGACCCAAAGGGGTTGCCCTATTTATTATTATTTTTTAAGATCAATATTTAGCAGTGGCCCACGCCTATAATCCCAGCACTTGGGAGGCCGAGGCAAGTGGATTGCCTGAGCCTGTGTGTTTGATACCATCCTGGGCAACTTGGTGAGACCTCATCTCTATAATCAATCAAAAAATTAGCTGGGCATGGTGGTGCATGCCTGTGGTTCCAGCTGCTTGGAAGGCTGAGGTGGAAGGATCGCCGGAGCCCAGCAGGTCAAGGCTGCAGTGGCCGGGAGCGTGCCACTGCCCTCCAGCCTGGGTAACGGAGTGAGACTCTGACGCAAAAAAAAAATCTATATTTAAATAGCCAGAAATGTTTGGCACCAGAAGTATGTGCAGACTCCAGAAGTATTTGCTGAACGAGGGAACGAATGGATGAATGCAACCAGAGCTGCTCTGGGGATGAAGAAAACAGCAAAGGCGGCCAGTTTCCTACCCACTCAGCCCTCCCTCCAGGAGTCCCAAGGCCCCTCCCTGGAGTTCTCAGGAACTCCGCAAAGTAAGGTGAAAACCACTCATCTAGTCCAATCCTCCCGCCTCCTTCTCGGGGGACCAGAAGACCAGCGGTATTTGCTGGGTGGAAGTGCGCTGCCCTGGGCAGGCCATGCCCTGTCGTGACTGAGCCAGAAGGGGCCCAGGGCACTGTGAGATAATGGGGGCTGGCGGAATTGGCTGGGTCAGGGGAGCCTCACCCATCTAGGCTCAGGACACTGCGGTACCCCACCGACTCCTCAAACACGAACAGCATGTAGACCTCATCTACAATCACGTGCAGCTTGTGCCTGGAATGAGGCAGGAGGCGGGGAGGAGAGAGCACGGTGTGGAGGGCAAATGTGTCCCCCAGAGTGTGGTGACGATGCCTCAGAGATCCGGAGGGACCACGGTCCAGATCAGGGTCACCAAACTTATTTTCCCCAGGAACACCCTTCTCTTGTCTGTTTTTTCAGGCAAGTAGGAAGTCGCACACACAAAGCAGAGGATGGTGGAGTTGCAAGCATTGCGGGGGACAGGGGGAGCGCTGACACACCTCCACAGAGGGGCATAGTCAAGTACGAGGGCTCCATCCAGAGACCCAGATTCAAGTCTGGCTCCACCCCTCACCTGACCACTCAAAGACTCAGTGAACCGGGCGTGATAACAGCATCAGGACCCGATAAGGTTGCTGTGAGGATTGCATGAGATACATAAAGTGCTTGGCGTGGTGCCTGGCTTCTAGAGTATACAATGATAGCTGCTATTATAAACAGAGAGAGAGAGAAGGAAAAATTGCACCATAAATCCCTGGGCCCCTCCCCTCTGCTGGGAGGGGTCAAAGCAAGTAGAAGCAAGTAGAAGTAGGGTGAAGAGAGTATAGGTCCTGCACCCAAGCCCGAAACAGAACCCCCATCTGCCCAGACGCTCTATGGGGATGCAAGGGGGTGTTCTCACCTCTTGGCAAACACCAGGTACTCCTGCAGCTCTCCCGGGGAGCAGATATCACCCAGAGGGTTCTGGGGGTTGAGGAGGATGAGGACTTTGACCTTCACACCCTGAAACCATCTGCAGGGCAGAGAACCTCAGCCCTTCCCCAAGGACAGAGTCACATGGTCAAAGAGGGCTGATCGCCAGACGGCTCCCGGGAAAGGTGAGGGGGACGTGGTCATGACCCAAATGAAGCAAACAAGCAGGAGGACACGGAAGTACATCCATGACCCTGTGCCAAGGATGGAAAGAAAAGAAATGCAGAGAACATGGTCCAGAGAGAATTACGCCAGGATGTTACCTTGCTTGTTAGAATTATGGACAGAACACAAGAGTGTAGATGACAGCATTGTGAGGACCTCCCAAAAGCTAAATACAAAAAATAAACAAAGACACAAACAAAAAAACAAATAGGGCTGGGCACAGTGGCTCATGCCTATAATCCCAGCACTTTGGGAGGCCAAGGTGAGAGGACTGCCTGAGCCTATGGGTTCGAGACCAGCCTGGCAACTTGGTGAGACCACATCTCTACAATAAATACGGTGGCGCATGCCTGTATTTCCAGCTACTTGGAAGGCTGAGGTGGAAGGATCGCCTGAGCCAAGCAAGTCAAGGCTGTGGTGGCCGGGAGCGTGCCACTGCCCTCCAGCCTGGGTGACAGAATGAGACTCCAACTCAAAAAAAGAATTATGGGTAGGCCTTTTGCCCTTTCAAAATTCCTACAGTGTGGCCAGGCACAGTGACTCATGAGTGTAAACCCAGCACTTTGGGAGGCTGGGGTAAGAGGGACTGCTTGATCCAAAGAGGTCGAGACTAGCCTAAGCAACAGAGCAAGACCTTGTCTCCACAAAAATTGGCTAGGTGTGGCGGAGTGTGCCTATAGGCCCCAGCTATTCGGGAGGCTGAGGCAGAAGGATCACCTAAGCCCAGAAAGTTGAGGCTGCAGTCAGCCATGAATGTGCCACTGTACTCTAGCCTGGGCATCAGAATGAGACTCCAATGAAAAATAAAATAAAATAAATTCCTACAGTGAGCAAGCACAGCTTTCATAGCCAAGGCAAAATTAAATAGGCTTCTGAAAGTGGATTGGAAAGGTACCACTGAGTACTGGTGTCTGGCTTTCCTCGGGAGACCTCAAATTCCCACAAAGTGGGCAAGACCACCCCCTCCAGTGGCCAGGGAGACTTGCTAAGCCATAGGCACCTGTATCCCACGCTTGCCCCACTGACTCAGAATCAGATGGAGTGCGGAGAGGGGATTTCATTGGAGCTCCCTGGCTGATTCTCTGTACACTGAGGTCTATGTCTTTTTCCAAAGGTAAGGCCCTCCGCAGGCAGGGTCCTGCCTGACTCCCAGATGGTTCCGTGTACCACCCTACCCAACCGTCCCCATCACGGGCTGCCAGCCCTGCTCCCAGGAAATCGGCCACAGGAGGAAGGGTCCATGCCCTCCCCGCTCAGACCCACCCACTCCCAGCCTCAGGTTCAATTTGGTCCCCACACCTCAGTCTCTGCTTCTTGCAGGGCCGTCTCCAGCTTCTCCACTGTGAGCTGGAAGGGGCGTGTGTCCGGCCCAGTGACCTGGAAAAAGACCCACCAAAGCCACGAGCCAAATTCAGTGGCCCTCTCCCTGCCCCCAACCCTGAACTCTCAGGTCTCTCCTCCCCTGTCACCTCCAGCCTTACTCAGAACAGTCTCTGGAAGAACAGGCGGGGTCCCCACCGCCCATTACAACAGAGACACCCTTATCACTCTCGGGTTTATGGTAGAGGCCCTGGGGCCCTCTGATCAGGGTCCAAGGGCTTCCATGCTGAGGTGTGAGCTGATCTGTTCCCACCCTGGTATTTCTGGGGCTGGCTCTTGGCTTTTGCATCAGCCTAGGGAATCTCGGAGCTTGGAGCTTGGCAGCCGCTGGGACACCTGGCCATGGGCCCTCGTATGTACTTCCTCGCATGTCCCTCCTCAGATCCAGCCTCCAGGAGGGCCCAGGTTGCCCACAGGCACCAGGACTCTTACCTCACTGTCCAGGTAGACACAGGCCAGTCGGACGTTGCCATAGAGACAGACATGCTGCGTGATAGCTCCGTAGTAAGGGGGAGGGATCAGGAAAGCCTCTGGGGGCAGGAGTGGATGGGCCTGTCACCCTCTGGCCAGAACACCCCAGGGCCTCTGGCCACTGGCCCCGCTGCCTCTCCAACCTTCAACACCCTTCCCCAAGTCCTTCAAAAGCCCGCACGTACTGGCATCAGTCCCCTTCCTAATAATTAACAACTAACATTCACTGAGCACTTACAATGTGCTGGGAACTGTGCTGACCATTTATTTAAGTTTTATTTCGTTTGCTCCTCACAACCACTGATTGTGTAGTAGGTAGGATTATCATCCCAACTTTATAGACAAGGAAAGGGAAGCTTAGAGGGTCCCTGCTCTTGCCTGTTCTAGAATGGCAGGAAATTGCCTGTTGTACCTTTACAATGACTCTTCCTTCTCTGGTTCAAATCCTGGTTACTACTTCTCTTTCTGTGACTTTGACAAGTTCCTTAACTTCCTGTGTCTTAGTCTCCTCATCTGTAAAATGGAGACAACATAGACGACACCTCACAGAAGTGCCGTGAGGGTTAAGTGCCAGACCATCTGTTGAACCTTAGGTCAGTGCCTGGAACGTAGTAAGTGCTCAATAAATGTTACCTATACTCTACTGAAACTATGATGAATGAGCTTCTGCGCCTTGCAACCCACCACCCCAACAACGCCCAGTTCTAATAAGACCATGGCTCTTGGAAGCAGGCTCTGCCAGCTGCCCTCTCAGCCACCATTCCAATGCTCTTCCTTGCCAAGAGGGCACCAATCTTCAGACACGACCAGCAACACGTCCAGGGAATGCGACCCTTCCCTCAGCCGCAGGAATGAACCACACCTGGCTTAAGGCAACCCTGATTCTCTTAGCCCCTCTGCCAGGGATGCTTTGGGAATGCGTTTATGAGTCAGTTGTCAGTAAGACCCAAGAGGGCCTCTGCTGGGACTCTTGTTAAATACAATATCCCTATTTCTCGCTCCTGATTTAAAAAAAAAAAAAAAAAAAGATGGCCCAACATCATCCCCTTCTCCTGCTTTAAGACACACCATCACGTGAGGCTGAGACAACCACCTTGCAAGCAAGGAGAAGCCAAGGTCACCACAGAGAGAAAGCCGGGGACCCTGGCATCGCTCAAGCCTCCCATGGAACTGCAAACCCCCAGGTGTTTTGTCAAGCCACTGATGAGCCCCCTACAGTCTGGTGTGTTCTATTATGGCCGGAAGCAAACTGTGGAGCCCCTGAGGCCAGGCAGCCGGGGAGGCTGCAAGCACCACGCAGGGCGCAGGGCGGTGGGCCAGAGAGCACTCACCCCCCACCTCACAGAGCACGGTGGCCAGGGCAGAGAAGAGCGAGGCACAGCCATTCAGAGCCACCACCTGAGGGCGACATGTAGCGGGATGGAGATGAGTCCGTTCGGAGAGGGAGCAGGGACCCGCAGCCTCTGTTCCAGGACAGCAGAGGGAGAGCCAGGCCCCTCCTCGGGGCCCCCTGGGCCTCTGTCACAACCAAGGGAGTCCTCGAAGGCCCCTCCCAACGAGCAGCCAAGCTCCTCGTGTGGCCCCTGCTCCAGACCATCTGGGCGGGGGACGGGGGGCTGCTCACCCAGAGGGTCTCCCCTGGAGGCATGGAGGCAGACCAGACGGGCCAGAGAACAACTTGGAGCAAAAGACATACCCAAACTCTAGACACCTGGGGTTAGGGGAAAGAGGGGGGAGGCGTTCCTCCTTCTACTTTGAAACAAATCAAAACGGAGTGAAAGGGAATCCCAACCCCACTTTACCCGTGACCAGCCAGAAGTTTGGGAGGAGGGGCCACTCACATTCTCTGGCTTGAGGGGAGCTGGGCTCTTGCAGTAGAAAGACAGGAACTTGGCCATTTCCTCCCGGAGACTGGAAATGACACAGACAACAGGTGCTTGTGGGTCCTCAACCTACAGTGTACCCCAAAGCCCCTGGTGGCCCGTCAGGCAGCTGCCATGCCTCTCCCCCAGTTTCCCAGGAGGCGAGTGTGGGTGTATCTGTTTCCACCCCGTAGTACCCACCTCCCCCCCACTGTTATCCATGAGCATTGCAGTAGCTCTACGACACCCCAGGACAGCTAATCAGGAGATGTCAGGAATATCAGAAGTAATACTCTCTTAGGTAGATCTTGCTAATCATCACAGCAGACATCATTATTATAACAATACTTATGACCATAGTTATTATTACTAATACTTCTTGAGCATTTAACTTATACAAATGTTGCTTAGAAAGTCTAACTCATTTCATCTTCTTAACAATCCTATCATGTGGCTACTATTATTCCGATTATGCAGACAAGGAATCTGAGATTTGAAGGAATGACGTTACTTGCTGATAGGAGGTGGAGTCCACAGTCAAGTCCAGTGGTCTGACCCCAGGGCCACCTCCTACTTCCTATACTAGATGAGCACGTGCTTTGGAATCAGTCTTGGCGCCAAGTCCCACTCAGCCACAAGCCTCTAGAATGGTGTCTGGCCCCAAGTAAGTACTCAGTAAGCGCACACTGTTGTTGATAGGATTCACAGCTTCCCATCTTACCATTAGCAAAAAGCCAGCTCCCCAGACACCGACCCGGGCTTCTCTAAAGCCACCAAGAGAGCAGGGACAAACTCCCGAAAGCCCTCCTCATGCCTCAGAGCTGGTTCACAGAAACCAGCTGGGCAGGGACTGGCACAAGGCATCAGCTCCCCGCAGATGCCCCAGGAGGCCCCTCGGTCACCAGGTCTCGAGGCCTAGGCCTCGACTTGCCACCACCAAATGGAGTTGGATGATTCTTTGTTGTGGGGGCTGTCGTAGGCCCCATAGTGGCTTTAGCAGCGTTCCTGGCCTCACCCATGAAATGCCACTAGCACCACCCTCCCGGTTATGACAACCAGAAACGTCTACCAAGATTGCCATCTAGCCCTTGGAGAGCAAACTCGTTCTAGGACAACTACTTACAACAGATGCCCCCTCGAGTCAGGGTACTGCAGCAGGGACGGCTCCACCCAGTGCATGTCGCTCTGACTCAGCTGGGGACAGAGAGGGAAGGGCAGGACTGATGGCCAGCACTGCCACCCGCGACCACAGCACTGAGAATTTTAAGGCCAAGAGCTTGTTCTGCTCGTAAGAAAACCTGCCAGGGGGGAGTGCAAACAACACAGCTTTCTCATGCCTATCTGCAAATGAGAACACCGAGGCTCAAAAAAGCAAAGTTGGCCAGGCGCAGTGACTCAAGCCTGTCATCCCAGCACTTTGGGAGCCTGAGGCAAGAGGACTGCCTGAGCCCAGGAGTTCAAGACCAGCCTAGGTAACTTGGTGAGACCTCGTCTCTGCAATATATCAAAAAATTAGCCGGGCAAGGTAGCACATGCCTGTAGTTCCGGCTACTTGGAAGGCTGAGGTGGAAGGATCGCCGGAGCCCAGCAGGTCGACGCTGGGGTGGCCATGAGCATGCCACCGCACTCCAGCCTGGGCGATAAAGTGAGACTCTGACTCAAAGAAAAAAAAGCGAAGTCACTCAGCCAAAGGCACAAAGCCAGCAAGTGGCAGAGCTGAGACAAAAACCCAGGAGTTTTGACTCCTAGTCTGGTGTTCTTTATTCAACACTGCCACCTAAAAATATTGGAGGGACAGCCGGGCTCAGTGGCTCAGCCTGTAATCCCGCGCCTTTGGGAGGCTGAGGTGAGTGGATTGCCTGAGCCCGCGAGTTCGAGACCCGCCTGGGCAGCGAGACCTCAGCTCTACAAAAAATCAGCTGGGCGTGGTAGTGCATGCCTGCAATTCTGGCTACTCGGAAGGCTGAGGAGGAAGGATAGCCGGAGCCCAGCAGGTCGAGGCTGCGGTGGCCGGGAGCGGCCACTGCACTCCAGTCTGGGCGACAGAGTGAGACTCCAACTCAAAAAAAAAAAAAATATTGGAGGGACACCAGGTGTGGTGGCTCATGCCTATAATCCCAGCACTTTGGGAGGCTGAGGTGAGAGGACTGCCTGAGCCTGCAGGTCCGAGACCAGCCTGGGCAACTTGGTGAGACCTCATCCCTACAATAAATCAAAAATTAGCCAGGCATGGCAGCATGTACCTGTAGTTTCAGCTACTTGGAAGGCTGAGATGGAAGGCTCACCAGAGCCCAGCAGCTTAAGGCTGCAGTGGCCATGAGCATGCCACTGCACTCCAACCTGGGCAACAGAGTGAGACTCCAACTCAAAAAAATTGGAGGGGTGGACTTGCAGAGACACTACCCCACATCTCCACAGGGTGACGGAAGAGGCCCAGCATTGGGAGTTATCACCCATGTCTTGGCTCCAACTTCTGGAGGGACTCAGGTTACCATCTTCCTGCAGACTCAGATCAGCCTCATGCTTTGGAAAACATGGCGATTTCTCGATCACCCTCTCTGTGACCAGATGCCAGGTTAATAACTCAGGGCATCATAAGTACGACAGAGAAGGACTGATGTGGGGGCCTCGGACAGTGGGGCTGGAGATGAAAGGGATCATCCACTCCCATATGACTGGGGTTAGCCTTTTCCCTCTCTTCCTACCTCCCTTAGAGCTGCTGTCCAATATGTAACCACTGGCCATGTGTGGCTAACTGAACACCTTAAACGTGGCTAGTCTGAATTAAGACACGATGAATTTTGAAGAATTGTAATTTGTCAAAATACATCCTTAATAGCTGGCACATTGATTACATGTTGAAATGGTCATACTTTGGCTATATTGGGCTAAGTAAAATATATTAGTAAAGTAAATTCATCAGGTTTTTCAAATTTTTAGTAGACTATTTGTACTCACACCTGTGGTGTGCCACTTATTCATTTTGGTGCTGAGCTGTTTTAGAAAGAGGAAGAGACTCTAGGTAAAACAGGTCTTTAAAACCTACTCCCGGCCGGGCACGGTGGCTCATGCCTATAATCCCAGCTCTTTGGGAGGCCGAGGTGAGAGTATTGCCTGAGTCCATGGGTTTGAGACCAGCCCAGGCAACTCAGGGAGACCGCGACTCTACAATAAATAAATAATTAGGCGGGTGTGGTAGCATGCACCTGTAGTTCCGGCTATTTGGAAAGCTGAGGCGGAAGGATTGCCAGAGCCCAGCAGGTCGAGGCTGTGGTGCCCGTGAGCATGACACTGCACTCCAGCCTGGGTGACAGAATGAGACTCCAATTAAAAAAAAAAGAAAGAAAATAAATAAATAAAACCTACTCTCTACAACCCCCACACCGTAGGGCT